TGCTCAACCTCTCTAAAATCCCTGAATTGCATCATAAAACACCTTGCTGCATCTTTATTTTCTTCTTTTAGTGGAAATACCCTGAAATACTTTCCAAACTGATGAAATATTCATGCCAAAATGGTGAAACAGTATTTAAGCAGAAAATTCAGGAAGCTGTACAAGAAGTGGAACTAAAATCAGAAAATTATCTGAAATGTATCTGCAACTAGTTTAATATCTGGGGTTTAGGTGTTTGTTTTTGAAATTGAAATACAGAATGCTTTCATCTACTTGATTTATGAAAGTTGCACAATGCTATGTCTGTACTTTATGTTTATATAAAACCATTGAATAAAAACTAGGTTGTAATTCAGTTTTTATTTAAACAGATCTTGTTGCCTTCTGTAGCAGCCAAATTACTACCTCCAGCATGATGTTTTAGTCTCACCTGCTCCTCCCTCACCTTGGTTACCAGAAAGCAAACCGAATGCACATCCTGACAGTGTTAATCAGAATGGTAGAAGCTGTTACTGACTGAAATTACTATATTGGAAAAGAAACTATACCGTATATGTACTACAAATGAATTGCAGAATTTTCTTGATTTCCTTTAAAAGCAAACAAATAAACAAACAAACCAAACTGTGTGAAGGTTAAAGATAAGAAAGAAGTGATCTAACAGATGTATTATACTGTATTTCAGAGTATCTGTGCTGCTCCAAACACTACTCTGATGGAAGCCCAAAGTTATGTACTTGATAAATACTGGAATATACTCAAAATATTACTTTCCTCCCTGTTGTAATTGCAAGAGCTTGCAGAAGATTTAAATTATGCCCTTTCACAAAGATGATTCCATATTAGAATCAAAATATCTCATGGGAACTCTGAATTGTAAGTATAAATTAAAACCAACCACTGTCATGAGCAGTGGCAGTTGCAAAATGGAAGAAAATTGAAGTAAAAAGCATGCAGAAAAGAGCTGATCAAAGATAAAGGCACAGAAACTATTGCTTTGATTTAAATGTTAGTTATTTTTGAAGGAAGAAGATGAGAAAATAAATGACCTCTGTGATGTATATATTCAGAAGCCAGTGGGAAGACAACTTGAAACTACTAATACATAGGGTCAACATTTCAATTAAATTTTGTCATATACTAAAAACATTTCAAGCCATATTACACTGTCTAAGGAAAATGTACTAGGGAAAATATTTTTTTCAATCCAAAAGTGTAGTTAGATTTTAATTGGGGCACTCAAAGGAGGCCAAGTGACAAATGATGGAGATAGACAGCAAAGAAGAAAATAGTAACTAAATTAGGAAGAGAAGAAAAGCAGGCAAATTAGAACAGAAAAAAGGAACAAAACAAACTATTTATCTCTTACTGCAGCCCCTGAAAGCTTTTGTGTTCTACATCTCTTTCACATTTACTGTGACCTCTCCTATGTTTCACAACTGTAGAGATCATGAAAACACATTTGTATCACAGAGTATCCATTTCTCAACGTTCTTTTTTCTTAACTTGTTTCACACCTCCATCATTGACTACAGTCTGCTAAAATTATTTGCAGCACTTTTCTGAGCCACCAATCTGTGACCAACAAACCCAGTCACTACAGACTCCCACCCAGCAGTCTCCTGCTCCTCTACAACTTTACCTTCCATTTCCCTCCAGGCTGCAGCTGCTGCTCTTATTGATAGAGTTCACAAGTGCTAAAATGTATTCAGGTATCTAAATTTGAGAAACTGCTTCTTTCATGGCAGTAGAAATCCTAATTACAAAACAGTCACTAACAGATAGCTAAGCACCAATTTATTCCTCTTGGGTCCCCAAAACCCTTTGTCTTCTACATTGAAGGCATAAGAGCTTCCATTGCTTCTTTGCACTTTACCAGTCATACTGTTCCAGCAAAATGAGTTTGAAACTGCCCAGTAATGTTTATATTCTTTAAAAGATTCCAAAATTTTCATTTTCAAAATGAAACAAAAATATTTTCCTCTGACCTGTGAGAAAAAAAGAAACAAAAAGCACAAAACCCATTTTCATTGCATTTCTATGTAATGTCACTGAAATATCTTCTATTCCAGACGAAAGAAAAAAAAAATTACAAAATTGAAAAAAGTCTTTGGCTTTCTTTTTTTAAAAAATATTTTTATACCAAATCATCTGGCTTTTCCTACAAACCCAACAGAGTGAAGAGGCTGAGCCTCCCACTAAGGGAGCCCTGGCCTGCTGAACTGAAACATGTCTCAAGTTGTTCAAAGTACAAATATCCAGGTCAGTTGGTATGAAAAAGATATACAATCAATCTGATTGGAACTACTTAGTAGATTGCAGGATGAGAAATTAAATATATTAAATGTAAGAGAAGAATGCATGTGATTAAGAGAAATGCAGGGATTGACATCCTGCCTGGAAGTTCAGACAGAGCAACTATTTTGAACACTGGGGGAAAAAAGGAAGGTAGAGACATCATTTAGTCCTAGAAGAGATACAACAAAAAAGAACATCTTTGTTTGTTGTTTCATTTTACAGCCAGACTAGTGAGGCACTGGAACAGGTTTCCCAGAGAAGTTGTAGATTCCTCATCCCTTTCAATGTTTAAGCCAAAGTTGAATGCAATTTCAAGAAACCTGGTCTAGAGGAAATTGTCTGTGTCCACAGCAGAAGGAGGTTGGAACTACATGGCTTTGAAGGTCCTTTCCAACCCAAACCATTCTACAACTGTGTTATAAATTAATGTTTCCCCTCAAGGTAAGGAAGACAATAAGGGCCAGTTGATGTTTACCCTGTATCCGTTCCAGCTCAAATAAAACTGTAATTGTTTGTTCTTTAAAGAAAAACAGCCAGTGGCATGGCAAATCATGGTATTCAAATAGTAATAATGAATAATAATAGTAATGGAACCAAACTGTAATAGGAATAGCAGCTCAGATTATCTGATTATCTGATATCCAAAGGCATTTGCTCTGAGAGAAGCTCAGACAGGAAAATAATAGTTAGGAAATTTCAGTGTTCAGTAGACTGTCAAACAGTGCAAGCTACACAAGTCAGAGAAGATTAAAGCTAGATAGATCTCCAGGTACCTGTCCAAGCACCATGGAACGACTGTATGGCAAACAAGTACATCTACTGTGTCCGCTCTGGGTCTTCTTTTCTTTGTCCCAAGAAACACCCTGACTAGAGCAGTACCTTGTGTGCGCATGATACTGACTCTTCCTCCAGCTTCAGCAAATGCAGCTGCTGGAAGACAACTTGCATTCCTGCCATCACATCTTTTTACCAGTGCCTCTTTTATTCCCCAACATCTTCTTCATTCTGGTCTACTTGCTATGTCTTCAGCTTATGTCTTAGCTGGCTAGATAACTATTTTTGGCAGTACTGATGCAAGTCTAAAACAGACGGAGTAAAACAATGCTTTTGAACAGCTCAGTGCTCGTAAAAGCCAAATCTTGAAGTCACTGTGTCTGCTCTAACAACAATGCTGTAAATGAAAGTCAAAGCAGAAAGAGAAGATATATTTTCTAACTTGGCTTTTTCCCCTCCTTTTCCAGCTTTGTGATTGCATCTCCTAATTCATCATTGAGGAGGCAGATTCAGGCCTTTACCACAAAAGTAATCAAGTCCAGCTACTTCTCCATCTACCATCTTTAATACCACCTAAAACTCTGCCAAATACAACCGTTTCTGTTATTATAAAATACAAAACAAAATTAACAGCCATTACTGTAGCTATGGAGAAAGGAAGTTAGAAATGTGGTTAAAATCTCCCTCAACTGCTTTCCCGGCTTTGTTTCATTTGTGGCTAATAAAGGTTTAAACTTCTGGGGTTTGGCTGGGTTTTTTAGGTGTGGGTGCTTGTTGACAGATGTTTGGGTGTCTCTGAATGGCCAAACGTTAATTACTTAGTATGTGCAGTGGGTCATATAAATAAATACCTTTGACCCTCCTGACTCATTTGTTGCAGTAAAGCAGGCTTAAAGTTTGTAATTAGTACAGGATGCCACTATCATGTCTCCATCCCTCAGAGAGGACTCTATAACTGTGACATTGTATCTTCATTATACCTTCATCCTAGTACTCTTCCTTTCATAGTTTAGCTGCCAATCCCTGGGTTATCCCCCTGCTCTTACTGCCTTAGGAACCTCAACCATGTCAGCTCTCCCTAGGCAAGAAGCTGCTCCAATCTTGATATCTGATATCCTGAAGTGAAAGGCAGTCCTTTATCATAAAACTCAGTCTTCACTTTTGATTATATAAACCTGAGACAATACAAAATGAGGCCTGAGGGCCTTTTAATACCAGGTTGTTCATATTTTTGCCTTCAAGATTCTGATGTACAGCTAAGGTATAATTGTTACACTACAGCTCTACCCCTCCCTTTTGGCCTCAGCAGCCAATGCAGCATCTCCAATCCTTTCACATACCTGTCTAGGCTGTCTTTTGTGTAGACACTTTCCTTGGAAAGACTCTCTATACATGTTGAGCTCCAAGGATCCCATTCTCTCAATTTACTATTCCCTATCACAGACTCCAGCCAAATATAGACCCAAAGCACTTCACCCACTATTGAAACAGCAGAAGGTAAATGAGTCACACACAAGGAAACATCATCCCATATCACAAAGAAAACACAGTGGCATAATAGTTTACCTTACAAGACTGAGAAATCTCTGTTGTTGGACACATCAGGAAAGAGATGGCAGGGGCTTCTGGTGAGTTATCTGGAAAGGAGTGAGTTATTTGCAGTGGATTAAATTCTGAGAGAATAGATGTTCTACAGATACTTTCAGGCATAGTTTCTGATCTTGCAATAAAAGTAGCAATATGTAAGTTGTGCTCAAGCAGCCACTTAAAAGCTGTGGTCAAATTGCACTAGAGCTAAGTGCTTGATAGCTGTTTAACAGAAGAGGTATGTTACAATCACCTCTGACCCAGTTGCAGGTTGCCTTTTCAGTACCAGCCTTTTCCCAGATCTCTTCCCCTGCTTTGTAGTGCCCACTAAGACTGCAAACATGACAGAAGAAATAGCAGGAATATTTGCCATAGCACTTGGAATAGATGATACTCCTTTCAAGTCAGCGAGACAATCCAGAGTAGTGAAGGTAAGCACGTAATTTCTGTAAAATATTAGTGTAGTAACAATGTAGATTTGAGGGATTGTGGAGACTCACACTTAAATAGATGTAATAAGGAATTACAAATAAACCACATTGAAGGTAAACTTTCATTGAGGGAAATAACATTGAAGATTCTGAACTTGCACAACTTAAAAATAACATCTTTCAGTAAAAAATAAGTTTCATTGCCATATAAAATAGATTTGGTAGCATTCTGATTACTCAGGAAAATTCCAATTGCAATTTGTGAAATTAAAATGAAGGGTGCTAAACAGAAGCATCAAATGGGGAGTCAGCTGTTAGTGATGAGATCACCAGGGAAACATTGGTTCCCAGAAAGAAATGATCAGTATCTCACTAGAGCAAAGGTAAACAAAAGATGAGGTGATAGAAATTTCTGATTCAAGTTGTTTAAACTCCCCTGACATATTCAATAAAATAACAATGCAGTGCAGCTGACTCGAATTAGTTGCAACTGGTGAAGTCCTTCAATTGGTCCATTTCTGCCAGCAAATGGATTCAAACTTTGAAAATTATTAAAATACAGAATAGGTTAAAGTCCATCAAGTCTTATGGAAAACAGGAAGCCACTACAAAAATGAAGTTAATTGCAGAGGAACTAGCAATATTTTAAATAAGCAGTGTGATTAATGCAATATTTTCTCTATTGCTAAACGAACAAGGAATTACAAAGCAAAATAAATAATATTTTAGTATTCAACAAATAGAAAAGTATGTAATGAGATAAAATCAAAGTCTGTACTACTCCTGTAGACAGTGTAAAGGGAAAGTAATAGAATTTAACAGCTACTGATTGTGTAAGTCAAGAATATTTTTAAAAAACAACTTTTTCTTCTCCTACATTTGTCTAATAAAAGGCATATCTCACTCATTTTAACAGTTGTTAGTCTCATTTTTCTATAGCTATGGTTATAACAACCTGAATATCTCCAAAATGAATAAACATAGAGAATAAAGCTTTGATACAATTAAACATAAAAGATTTGCTATGGTATGATGACAAGAAATTAGCAACAGGAACTTTAATAACAACTCTGAATTCTTTAGATCTTGCGTCAACAGCAAAGTATGTTGTGATGTGTTTGTCATATGATGTAATTCTAGGAATAAAGACTGGCTGGAAAAGGTGTCGGCTGGTAATTAATGACAAGCACATGACAAATCTTTAATAAAAGCTATTCCAGTGGATGACCAGTTTCCATGAAAAAGGAAGATCACAGTCATTATGCAAATATACAATACCATAATAAAATTTTTTTATGTAATTTTTTTACGTATGCTATATCATGTTAAAATATGTATGCTAGATTATATTAAAAGCAAATTGGTGAGTGTTAGAATGTGTAATAACTTATAGAGTCATTAGGTTTCATTTTAGTAATGTCAGGTATGAAGAAAATTTACTAAACAGATGATGAAAGTAAGCTTTGGTAATATGAAATGCAGAGCCTGAGCTAGCAACACCAAAACGAGAGTCTTCCACCCCACTGCTGGTTATCTGAGAAAACAAGGCTTACACAATCACCAACCATTACTCTGTGCCCTTCCTCTCCACACCTAATAATACTCGAATGGGCTGGCCAATTCTTTCACTTGAATTGCAAAATAATTCATATTGGATGAGTCTAAGTGCTAAAGAATTCAAAGTTAAATTAATTTTAACAAATTGAGTCATAAAATTATTTGGATTGGATAAGACCTCAAGAGGTCGTCTGGTTCCACTGATGAACTGTCAGTGGGTAAATAATTGTTTTCTACTTTAAAAAAAAAAATTTAAAAATCTATTTACATAAATATTTACAGTCAGAGCTTATGCTTTGTATCAGCTGACTGACCATCTAAGACACATGTATCTGTATTAACATAGCTCTAGGTGAGTCATAGCACATACCTATGCTTACCCAGAGGGGATGGCACCCTGGGGAGTGCTGGATGAGTTAGGATATTGAATTGAGGATACAGAACATAAATCTGTAAGAAATAGCTTTGAATATTCTATTGCTCATAGAACTAAACTGTTTGCCTGAGGCATAAATGTAAGAACTGAAAATAGAAAGACTTATTAAATGGGCTAGGGAACAGTAACATAACATCTTATATAGGTAATCTTCTAATTTCAATTTAAAAGGCCATGTTTCATTTACTTTATAAAGTAATGATATGGACATTGTTTCTCTTCTGAAGGGCCCACAATCAGAAGGTGAATTTTTGTGCAGAGTTTGAGATACTGCTTGAGGGGAAAAATATTTATTCCTAAAAATGAAGCTTCTTACTATTTCCAAATTCATTTACTTTCAGATCATGTATTTACCATGTATTATTAAGAAAGTAACAAAGTAATAAAGACTCAAAGAAACAACCACCCTCTACAAATTCTGAACATTATTCAGACCACTGATCAAGACTCCTCTCCCTCCTTCACCACTTACATTTAAATCACAAATTATAGGTCTGTATGATCTCTCTCATTTTATTACTTTTCAAAATCTAATCATCTGATTTTGAGGAGGGATTTTATCCATCTGTTGGGAAGCATGGAAGCTCCTCAGCAGATCTGTACTTCTTTTTAGCAGGACTCTTCTGCTTTCCTCAGTGCATGCAGTAGGATCACATGGCAATTTATCTGAAGATGGAACCAGATGAAGATACCATCTGTTTCTTCCGTACTGTGTAACTGGATCAGACTCAAGTATGTAGCAGCTGTGGGTGTAGCTATCTCTACAGACAGCAGCTGATGCTATCCAATACTTCTCCAGAAAAGTTTAATCAGGATGAGAATGTCTTTGGTAAGCCAAGTTAAATGTCAGGCCTTCTACTGCTCCATAGAAGAAAGCACCTTAGATCTCCTAGATGTAGGTGTCTCATCTTGACATGCTTTGATATGAAAACTCGGGAGGAAGTCTTGACTGCAACACCAGCAGAATTGCTGTGACCCTTCCCTCCATAACATAAATTTGTGCTGTTGTGTGGAGTGTTCCTACAGTAATCTGGAGAATTTTGTTGCAAGAGTTTCTCATTCATGGGTATTTCTTTGCCCAGCAGGTTGTCCTCTGTCTTCAACTGTCTCTAATCTCACTGGATCCCAAAATGCTGGAACATAAATCTGCCAAACTATTACTGCTACCAGCAGCTATTTCTGCTGAAAAGCTGGTAAGGTTTAAACTTTACTCTAGCCTGCTAACTTGTGTTTTACAAGATGATATAATTTCCAAATGCCTAGGAATATAGTTGTGTTCAGTAAGTATCGTGGAATTCTAGTCTTTTTTATGTTCTAAAATCTGTTAGTACTGGTACTTACTTTCTGTTTTAGCTTCTGTCCCAGCTCTGCCTGTTTTTTAGCTTACTCTGCTGCTCTTGTGGTAACCAAATCCAAGTTCTCTAAGATGTTCCTCCTCAAAGGCTTTAAGTATGTCTGTACGACAGTCAGAGCTATGACTGATCCCTGCACAGACTTATACAAGGTAGCTTTAAGAGAAGCATGTTGGACATTTAGAAGAGTGAAGCTGAAATAGCAGGGACATTACATACAGGCTGGAGGTACTCTGGTTTCTCTGGTGAGCCTAGCAAGTAACTTAGAAGGTATTGGACATCCTTGACAGGGTGAACAAATAATAAAGATCACTAATTATGCATGGTCTTCCCTGACTTGTACAAAAGCTGGGCAGAATGATACGTGTTGTAATATTTTGGGGGGGGGGGGTAGTCTTATAAATACAAATCACAATTTATAATTGATACTTCTTAGAATTGTAAACAAAATTTAAAAAGCAATAAAGATGAATGGAGCAGCAAAAGACAAATTCCCTGTCATTTCTTGAAGGCATTGCCTTGACTGATATCAAATTCCTTATCTGGTAAGATAGCATTGAAGTCACAAACACTGCAAAAAAATCCTGATCCTCTCTTGGATCAGTGCAGTTTTTTGTCATGTTAATAAATTAAATTTACCAGGTTTGAGCTAAGACCTCTCGAGTATTACCTAGAAATGCCACACTTACCCCATAATCATGTCATCATAATCATGTAATTGAGCCATTTAGGTCCATTACAAAGTATATTCTTGTATATTATAATACTCAGTATTAATCAGTATATTCCTGGCCTTTTAGCCAAGAAGAGAATACTTTTAGAGAAAAGTATTTAGAAATTTTACAATCCAAACTGTGACCCAAGGCTCACATTGGCTGTGCTTACAATAGTATGTTAGGCTCATCTCAGCCAACATATATTCAATGACATAAACCCTGCAGAATCTTGCATAGGTCGGATTGCCTGGAATTGTACTGGAAGTACAAGTGACTTATCAGTACTCAATTTTCCTCCCTGACACCAAAGGAAAAACAGCTTAAACATTTATGGGATATGCCATGGATTACACATGAGAAAGATAAGAAGTTGCAGTGGGTTGATCTTAGATGCCAGGTGGCCACCACAGCTGCTCTATCACTGCCCCTCTTCACCTTAATAGAGGGGAATAAAACATGATGAAAGACCTGTACATCAAGGTATAGACAGGGAAAGATCACTACCCATTGCCATCATAGGTAAAACAGACTCAGCTTGGGGAGATTAATTTAATAGATTGTCAATCAAAAGATAGAAGGAAATAAGAAATAAGAACAAAACTGAAGACATCTTCCCCTCACCTGTCTCTAATTATTAGGTTCCATTTTGTTTTCTACCTCCTACCCCTCAGCACCACAGGGGAACAGGGAATGGGTCTGCAGTCAGTTTGACACATACTGCTTTGCCACTTCCTCCGCACACTCTTCCCCTGCTCCAGTGTGGGGGTCCCTCCCATGTGAGACAGTCCTTCGTGAACTTCTCTAATATTAGTCACTCCCACAGCCTGCAGATCGTGAACTGCCCCGGTGCAGTTCCCTCCCACTGGGTGCAATACTTCAGGAATCACTGGGTTCTCCATGGATCCTTGACCCTCCCATGGTGACACAAGTCCTGCCAGC